TATATATATATATATATATATATATATTTTTTTTTTTTTTATATTTGTATATAATCAATCGGTAAATCAAATCGAATTTTAGGAATTTTTTTTAAAGAGATCCTTATAGATTTTTGAGAGATTTTGAGATATCATTAATGTATATATATTCATGTGTATTTGTAAAGAGAGATACAACAGAACAAGATTGTTGTTTTCCAAAATTAGAGTTCTTTCACTTGTGTCAAATTGTGAAATTTTCCCTTTCAAATATTGCTTCATTTTTTTTTATTGTTTATTTTAATGAGTGTTTGATCCAATTTATTGTTTTTTGTTGTTGTTTTTAGGTGATATTTTGCTAGAATTGCAAGATGAATATTGGTAATTTTCCCATTAGATAGGGTTTTGCTTTCTGGGTATTCTAGACTTGGAGTTTGGTTTTGGGTGATGCATAGAAATGAGTTCAAAAGATGTGAATAGTAAAACATGGAAATGGGCTTTGGGTTTAGCATACATATTTGCTGTGGCAACAATTTGGATTGCTGCTAGCTTTGTAGTGCAGTCTGTTGTAGATGCCGGTGTGTCACCATTCTTTGTTACTTATATCTGCAATTCGTTGTTTTTGGTGTTGATCCCAATTGTTGAAATTGGGAGGTATTTGGAGGATTCTTATGGGGGTTTATGTTTTTGGAGGAGTGAGAAGGGTAATCCATGTTTGAAAGGAGGGGTAGGGGAATCAGAGAAGGCTATTCTTCTCAAAGACAATGATGCAGGCAATGAAGCTGGTGAAGCCTTGGTTATTGAAGAGGATGATGTCAGTCAAGAAAATAAAAATGGTTCCGAATTGCTGCCAGAAGATGCGGTGGTAGGTGTTTTGGTTGATGAAGTTAATGTGATTGAAAATGTTGATAAAGAGATCAATGACAAAGGGAGGTGGAGTCGGTCCCGAGTGGCCAAAGTTAGTCTATTGATCTGCCCGGTTTGGTTTTTAGCTCAACTCACTTTTAACTTGTCATTGAAGTATACCACAGTTACAGTAAGTAAATATGTATTTAACCTTTTGAATTTTAAGTTCTGCTTCACTTAACTATTTGGCTTAAATTAGTTCCCTCTTTTTATGTGATGTGCAGTCAAATACAATCTTAAGCAGTGCATCCAGTCTTTTTACCTTCTTGGTCTCGCTGGTGTTCTTGGGTGAGAGGTTTACTTGGTTAAAGCTCTTTAGTGTTTTTCTTTGTATGGGAGGAACAATAATTGTAAGCCTAGGTGATTCACAATCTGGTTTAAGAACAGTTGCATCAAATCCTCTTCTTGGAGATTTTTTCGCACTTGCTTCTGCAGGACTATATGCAGTGTATATAACTCTTATTCGCAAGAAATTACCTGATGATGATGGAAAGAACGGTGAAGCCAGTACAGCTGAGTTTCTTGGATATCTTGGGCTTTTCAATGTTGTCATATTTCTTCCAGTTGCCCTTATACTAAATTTTACCAAGAAGGAACCTTTTAGTACACTTACCTGGAAGCAGCTTGGTCTGATAATTGGTAAAGGTTAGTATCCAATATTTTTTTACAGTTCGTTTTGAATTTTACAATGTAGCTAAGTTGTGTTTTGCTGCTAAACTGGCTGTCTTCTAATCCTGTTTTACCTTTTTCCTCTGTGTGCTCTTTTCATTTGGTGTTCAACAAATAGCCAACATATACCAGGCCCTTCCTTTCAGACTTAAGTTGTTTATATGCATAATTTTATGTGCCATCCAATTAATGTTGAACTTGAGAAGTTCTTTCTGCCTCAACAATAATTTATATTATTAGTGGAGAATGATTTTAGGGGATTGCAATCAATCTAGTATAGATTAAATTTCTAAATTATTTAAAGTTGCAAATTTGCATATATCAAAGGGAAAAAAGTATAGGAAGTTTATTAGTATTTCTCACTATTGTTTTCTTAAATTGTTGGGTAATAAAAGATTTCTCCTAATTTTTTTCCCCATTCTGGGTAAAAAGTTTCTCCTAACCAGAACAGGATTCGTATTTTGTGCCAATCATTGTCAAGGCTCTTAATTCAATTCATTGTCAGTATAAAGAGTTATGCACTATCAGTAAAATCTATTAAAAAGATTATTAAATTATATATTTTTTGAACCGACAAAAAATTATATTCGGTAAAATTTATATATCTACCCTCATAGATCTCATTAAGGGAGACTAGTGAACTGAATCACTTACCTGTGAATAACCACAGCATTTTAAGCATTTTTAGAGAGTTGGAAATAAACTAATGTGAACTTGGATTAAACTCATTTGTCTGATTTTATAGCTCTACGTGAGAAGAATGCCATTGTTAGAAATATAGAAGTATAAAACCATTCTGTTATTTCGCCTAATGCTGAAGTTATTGGGATAGTGTTAATGTCATGGTATCAAAGCTTTTATGACCAAGGTGTCTCTACTCTAGAGTTCAGTCCTTGACGCCTTCCATTCTTTTAAAAAAAAGTTAATTTCATTTCAATGAAGGGTTGTTATGTATGTATTTTCTGGAGAGATATTTTTCAAGAGGAACATGATATTTCTACAAAAAAGTTATTCATGAGCTCTTTATATGTAGAGAAAAATCATATTAAAAAAATTCAAATATCAATGGCATATCTTATTCTAAAAAATTAGGAAATAAATCCTAAAATAAAAAAAACAAATTAAATTTAAATATTTGAAACATAAATAACATATTCCTAAATAAACTAAATTATTCTTTTCTTTTTAGGCTAAAGATATTTAGACATATTCCCAGCATTCAACACAAGATAAGGTTGGCTTGTGCATTGTTCAAGCATCAAGCCCATTTTTAGAAATATAGACGTATAAAACCATTCATGTATCACCTAACCTAACAACTTAAGCCTTCTGGGTAGTTAGCGCATGATAGGTTTCTTGTTGACTTATCGTGCCACTGATTGTAAAATTATCTTTAGCTTTCTTTATCTAGAGTTTCTATAACTTACCTGGATCTACCACCACCCTAGAGTAGCCAAAGAAAGTAAAATTAAACCTTGTTCATACATGGGTTTCTGGGATATGAAATGAGCCACTTTAAAAAGGTTCATTGCTTCAGCCCAGAGTACTATTACCAGCCAGATAAATTGATATGTCGGACATTCCCGACCCACAAAGCAAAACCGGTAGTTTTTTGATCATGATTAGTTAAAGTTAAAGTTCCATTGAAGAGCATTTCCACATGGTAACGCATAATTACTTTAAGCATAAGAATTATTTCATGGTAAATTAACCTGCTTTTTTAGTTGAGAACTCATATATGGTAATTGTAAAACTTCTTAGAGCCAGAATTTAAGAAGCAGTAAAGGATGGCTAAAGAGATATTAAACAACTTAGTATATGTCAAGAGCATGATCATTAGTTAAATACATATATTGCAAAATATGGCTAAAGAAATTGAGTAAAATTTCCATAAAATATCAATACTATTCACTCTTAGAATTGTCAAACTTCAAAACAGAATTGTCCATTACTTCACTGTTGACATTCATATTACACCATGCTTATGAGAAACTAGAAAACCATTTGAATCATTATATTTTGCCTCGAGTTTCCTATTCGTTGTACCATGTTGTATGGATCTTTGTTATTGACAGTGAATATTATATTTTCTCTCATTTAATGGTTACTTCAATCACTTTATCTTCCGGTGATAAAGTGAGCATAGTCTTTGAAGCAAGCCGTTTATTGCTACTTCCAAAAGCATATTCCCGAGTTTTTTTTTTTTTTTTTTTTTTTTTCAAAATGTGGAAATTAAATAAGCATTTACTAAACATTTAACCTTCTATGTAACGTGTCCAGCACTCCACTTCCTCTAAGACAACATAAAATTTTTATTGGTTTCACTTGGTCTCTTTTACTCATGGATCTTGTTTTGGAAGTTGGAACTGTTATGAATGACTTTCCTGGCTCCATTTGACTTATAAATTTCATAATGTATGGATTCTTTTTCCTGATGAAAACTAGGATTACTGGATAATGTGCTGAGTGATTACTTGTGGGCGAAGGCTGTTATGCTTACGTCTACCACAGTTGCTACAGCTGGTCTTTCAATTCAGGTCCCATTGGCTGCCATTGTGGATACCTTGACTGGCCATGCTCCGCGCTTTATGGATTACCTTGGAGCAACAGCTGTCATGATTGGCTTCACTGGAATCAACATTCCTTCTGACACTTTTAGCAAATCCAGCGAAACTACTGTGGAATTGGAAACTGAGAACTTTAATATAAACACTGAAGAGCTTACTTTGTCTAGAAGTCATGATTCAGTTGCCATATCATAGCACTGTACATTGCATTCATTTCATGAGTTTGTTGATAGGTGGTCTTTTTGTAATCATACCAAATTAGTTGCAATAACCAAAATGTGTTGCTATACCAAACATGGAAATAGAAAATCTAGAACAAGAAAGAGGGTTCACTGGATACCAGACATGAAAATAGTAAATGTAGAACAAGAAAGATGGTTTACTAGAGGAACACCCGAGATTACACCTGGAGAGACATGTAAGCTGCCATGTGGTTCAGAAAATTGCTACTTGGTTGAGATCTTCATTGATGGTATGGGTGCCTAAGTGCCCTAGACCTTAGTAAAGAAAGGGTTCATCCATGAACCACATGTAATGACAAATTTGGTGTAATAATTTCTATCAATTTTGGGATATTTTGTAAATGTTTAGTTCTATATCTTAAATCTGATGAGAAGGTTTCAAGTCATAGTCATTCATTTGATGATACTATATGTAAACTAATATTCCCAACTGTAAATGTAGCAGTTTAATTATATAATTTATGCAACCGACTAATTTTCTGAAAAAAAATAAAATAAAATTGAAATGTCTGATTTAACAATATTTTTGTTTCTTCATTTGTTTATTATAAATTTGTGAAGGAATTGATTTTTACTTATATTATTATGTTTAGTTGCTTGTAATTGAGTGCAGTGTTTGGTGCACAAATGGAACACGATGGTCTAGTACACAACTAGTTCTATTCTCGTTGGTTCTTAAATTGTTCTTTTTTTTTTTTTTTAATTTATAGTTTTATCTTTTTAATTAAATCAAAATTTATCATTTTTTAAAAACTTTATGCTTTGTGTTATTCTATTTTTAATATGCACCAAGCATAAAATAAAGCGTGTTCTACTCTACTACCAAATTTTAGTTGTACTAAGTGAGTTCAATCTTCGTCCTAAGGTTCAGATTGAGCACGTCCCATCATCACCATTAGCGACTGCAGTGAACCCGAAGCACTTTTACACGGGCAATGGAGCAGGAAAGGCATAAGAAAATGGAAAACGATGAATAGTCTATGTTTCTCGACATTTAAACATAAAGATAAAAAATATTTGTCAATTTAATTTAATGAGATGAAGTATTAAATATTTTTTTTTAAATTATTAATTTAATTTATATATTAAGAATTTTTATTAACAATTAAATAATTAAATTTTAATATAAAATATAAGTTATTTGAATATGATAAGTTTAAGTAAATTTATTTTTTAATAAATGAATTCTTCTTATATATATATATATAAATATAATATAATATAATATAAGTATGATAAGTAATATGGTGTGATAAAAAATATCACTATTAATGAAGTATTTGTAATAGACGGAGTGTTCACATATCATGCAAGAGTCGCTCAAGACAAGTATTTTGCTTCATGTTCTTCATTAATAGTCCAATGTCTCGGTACTACTTGATTTTTTAACTAATTTCTTTCTCTATTATTTTCCATAACTTGGTTTTATTTCATTTCGCTTGAAATTCTCTTAATACCATTTGCTTTTATTTATCTCTAGTCTCATATATTTGTACCTTTATGCTGCATTCAAATTCAGTTCCTTATTACTTAATAATTGAAATTTATAGAACTTTATGCAAGTTTTTCCTCATTTTAGGTCTCCTCTTCAAGTTTGTTGCTTTTAAATTTGAGTATATTCACCGACTTCAACAATTACACACCGGCAAGTACATTAGGAGAAGTGGTTGCTCTCTGAGATTAATAACCAGAATCGAAATTTTCTCAAATTGAAAGTACAATTTTTGTTTCTTTTACTGAAATTTTGGGGAAATGGAATACATACTTAAAATTTCTTGAGGAAGTCCTAGATAAACCTTAGGTGGTCAACAATCATTCAAGTCTTTACGAGGGAGATGCTCACTATTAGTGCTTGACGATGCCTCAAATATAATTTTCTTTTGAAGAAGGATGCCTATAAAAAACAAAAAAAAATACATAAAGAGGTTATATGTAATTGCAGAACAATGAAATTTAAGTAAAAAAAAGTCTACAGCTATGATATGATGAAAATAATCATGAAAAAGGAGACTGTACCGGATCAACACTAATGATCACTTCCATGACATTGAAGCACCTCAACTACTTGTCTCATGGTGGGTCTTGAATCTTTGTCTTCCAGCACACAGTTCAAAGCTACTCTGATCAAAATTTCCATCTTAATGCTATCATAATGTGGTCCAACAGCAGGATCAATTATTTGCTCTACCCAAGATGCATTGGTGTTGCTACTTTTTTCTCTCACCCATGCAACCAATCTCCCATCATATGTCTCTTCACCATCAATGTTTTGGACACTTGTGGTTGGACTTTTCCCAGTTATCATTTCCAAAACAACAATTCCATAGCTATAAACATCCACCTTGGATGTGATAGCCAAGTTGAAAACCCACTCAGGTGCCATATATCCTCTGGTGCCTCTGATCATAGAGATGCTTGGATTGTTGGGGTTGTTTCTGTTGAGGAGCTTAGACAAGCCAAAGTCTGCTAACTTGGGCTGATAATTGGAATCTAGGAGTATGTTTTGTGGCTTTATATCACAGTGCAAAATCCACTCCAAGCATTCCTCATGTAAATATGCAAGAACTCTTGCCATACCAAGAGCAATTTTATATCTCTTGCTCCAATCAAGTGTGTTGGATGCAAGATTTTGAGCCAAAGAACCATTCTCCATGTACTCATACACCAACAACCTATGCTTTCCCTCAGCACAATACCCCCACATTTCAATCAAGTTCATGTGGTTAAGCCTCCCAATGATGCCTACTTCAGCAAGAAATTCCCCTTCTCCTTGTTTAGCATTGTAGAGTCTCTTTATTGCTGCATTTCTTTGATCTGATAAAATACCTTTGTACACAACCCCTCCTGCACCTCTTCCAATCTCATACCTGAACCCCTTTGTAGCCTTTTTCAGCTCAGAGTAACTAAATTTTCTGAAACCTGTTGCTGCAAGATAGTAGCCCTGCAGATCCGCATTAGTCCTTTGGTTGGTCCTAATTAAGAACCAAACCACAAAAATGCTAACCATTTCCAATGCTCCAAATGCCGTAGCAAACCACTGGAAAACCGTCGCAACATGGCTTACACGTGCTTTGATATAATCTCTTCGAAGTTGAACCGAACAAACATGATCATGAACAGTTTCAACAGCAGATTGTTTGACAGAGAAGCTACTATTTTTAGGCAATCTCAAGTATGTTGATCCTGTGAATTTCGGGGAACGCCGTCCATTGAGCAGTTGTGTCTTTGTATAGCACCTGAAAAAGCCTTTTTTATCGCTATAGGAGTACTGAAACCCCTTGCATGTGCAATCTCGCAAGCACAAACTCTCACAAGAACTATAATTACTCACTTCCACATAGTGATTATCATAGCCATAAAGCTCAACACCGCGCATCTCCAAGAAGCTAGACTCATTCCCATCACAAGTGAGATCAAACATGGGTTCACACCCATAAGACCAATCACTGAAATTGTTCAACCTATGCCCCGGAAGACACAAACATGTTTTCCCAATCATAGGATCATAGCCACATGTACTATAGGCTCCACAAATCCCATGAACCAAGCAACCATTAGAAATCCCTTGCCACGAAACATACCATTTCTCCAACACACTCATTCGACTATACACTCTCACATTCCCATCACAATCCAGTTTCAACCTTCTTTGCAGCACCGCGCCATAGTCAGATGTCACAAAAGTGAAGTTATCCGAAGAGTTGAAAAGGCCAAGAGAATCAAACGCTGCAATCTTGCTACTATTGAAATAAGTCCTACCAACATCCCAACTCAGCAACCAAGGCTTTGGCCAGTAAGAGCTTGAAACAGAAGGACCATCATAGTGAAGACTAAGAACGTTTTCATCATCAAACAAGAGCTTATAGAACCCCGAGGAGTGATTACTCTCGCTTCTCGAAGACACAAGCTGCGTGTGTCTAGTGAGAGGTTGACCCGGAAGAAGAGTATCCGTTGGAAAATCAAAACTTTGCCACAGAATGGTTCCTCTCGAGTCATGCAACACGAGGTTGCCATCATCTCCGAGATGCAACTCTGATGGGGCGAAAGAAACGGTGTTTGAAGACCAAACGGTGTTGAAAGAAGCATCCACCAAGACTACGTTACCGGAGTGTGTGAGGGAAAGTTTGGAGCGTTTCCCGTTAACGGGGTGGTCACGGTTTGCGATCCACGTGGCGGTGTTGGGGGCGTGGAAGTGAGGCTCCGTGAACCATATTGCGAAGGAATATGCGTTTTCGCCGATGCCAACGAAGCCTGCGGAGAAGGTGCGGTTTGGTGAGATGAGAACGTCTTGTGGATTTTCCACTGAGAGGGAAGAGCCCTTTCTGAGTGACGAAGAAGATGATGAACATTGCGAAGAGAATAAGGATGATACAAGAAAGAGTGTGGTTGACAAAACTAGTCTCATTTTCAATGCAAGTTCTTGCGTTAGTTCGTGTTTCGTGTTGGTTTTTAGCACGGGAATGGACGAGTATCCAGCGTCATTAATCTCCTTAAAGGTAGGATAGCTACTTGCATATCCACATTCACAAAATTCGAATCCCTAATGTTAAGTGTTAAGTGTGGATCAACCTCAATCACTAAACCATCAATCACTAAACCACACATCAATCACTAAACCACACGCTTGGAGTTAATGTACGTGTATATGTATAATAAGGATGACTAGTTTGTAAAATCACAAGAGTAATTTTAGAAAAAGATAAAAAATTAAATTACTAGGACAAGTGGTTTGATATTTTAATGAGTAATAGTTTTGTTTAGTTAAAGATCATAGTATATATATAAAAGATGCGTGATAGTTTTCTTTTTAGAAAAGATGTGTCATGTGTTACAACTAGCAATATATTGTTGTATATATGAGTACCCATAAAAAAAATTATTAAGACAAACATCATTAACACTTGCAAAAATAAACATGAGTAATTAGTTTCAAAGTATTTTCTCGCATTGATATATTTATACATACTTAAGATCGAAATTTAATATCTTATTCTGATGTCTTAACTAGAAATATTCTTTTTTTTTAGGATTTATTCTATAAAATATAGGATTGTGTCTAGAAAAATGAGAACTTAAGTAATTTTTATGAGTTATATTCTTTTTTGGTAAACTAAGACATCTCTTAATTAAAATTAAGAATTAATCTTTTAAAATACTGAGATTCATTTAAAAAGTTGACCTCTCTCAACAAATATTTTTTTTATGCATGTCGTATATTGTTTATTATATTATGAGTCATACTCTAATATAAATAATCATATTTATTTTTTATTTTTTTTAACTTTTTAAGCAATACAAATTTATTAATTAAGATTTAATCAACAAATAACTTTAACATTTTAATTAATGATAATTCATTTAATCATTATACTATAACATAGATAATTCATCTCAATTAAATTTAAAAAAGTTATTTTGATAATGACTCTAATTTCAAAATATTTTTAGTACTATTTTATAAATATCATATGTAAAAAATTATTTTTAATATAATTTTATGTTTTGAGTAAGAGATTAAATTATTTTATCAGTATTTATTTTAATATGAAAATAAGTTAATATCACTAATACTAAATTAATTTTGATTAAAACTTAAATTTATTTTAAATTAATATAATATACTATTTTTTAATTTATTTTCTTTTTAAATTTTCATTTATTAAGATTGGTGTAAAAAACTTAAATTGATTTCATATTTTGATATTTGTTCAAATAATTGAAGTATAAGAAAATAAATAACATTTAATAATTTAAATTAAATTAAACTTTTTAAATAATATATGTACCTGTCTGAGGGTACACTCATAATTTTCTGGGGTGTGAGAGGGTCAGACGGAAGCTTCAGGTAGATTCTTCAGAGGGGGGGGAGGTACCTGCAAAAGGCACTCCGACGCTCAAGTCAGGATAAGCACGATTTTCTAGGGTAATAAATGAACAATGACATACCTCGTTACGTGTGACCTATTTATAAGACCTGACATGGGCCTGAACGTGGTGGACCTTCTCTAACACTTACCAAATTAGGTAATACGATGTTAATCGGCGGGTTATGCCTTAATTGTGCTTTGTCCCTTGTTAATCATGATCGCCGTTCTAATTACTGTCTCTGTTGACCTTCAGCCAAGCCGATACGAAACGGTCGAGACGTCGTCTTCGGCGTCTGGCCGAGCCGACAGGGGAAGGATGTGGTTCTCGGTCCCTTGCCGAGCCGAAGTGATATCTGATCTGATAGGACATGATGTACCGGTCCACGTGGCCGATCCACGTGGCCGATCTACGAGCCGAAGTAATGTCTGAGCTGCGTCAATATCTGATAGGACATGACGTGCCGGTCCACGTGGCCAATCCATGTGGCCGATAGGACCCTTCCGGTACACAAGCCCCCCAGCCTTGAGGAGTGTAACGACGCAAAGGGTAGAGTTGTCTTTTCAGTTGTGACGGTTGATGTGAAAGGGGCAGTTGTAACTGTTAAGTATTAATTGTAGGAATGGGGAAAGTCGTAACCGTTGAGTAATGATCGTGGGACTATGAAAGGTTATAACCGTTGGGAATACACGTTGGAATATGGAAGGTTATAACCGTTGGGTAATAATGAGGGAGATTTGAAGAGTTGGAGCTTGTGGGTCGTTAGATCAATATGATCCAATGGTTCTAATGAGAGCAGCAGTTATCCATTTTTTTGAAAGTACTATAAATAGGGGTGGTGGGGACCAAGTCTTAGCGTGTTTACTTAGTTGTAGTGTGCAAGTGCTCCGAGTCGACGCAAAGATCAACTTTGGGTGCGAGTTACCGACCGAGGCCGACATCCGATTAAGGTACGTTTCGATGGCTGATTTAAATATAGATGTAGAGGATAGGGTTTCCGAGGCAGGTTCCACTGGAAGTAGTAAAGCTATCTCTGTCGAGGTGGGTTCGCGTGAGTCTTCTCACCGAGAAGCTTCGGATTCGGCAACACAGAAATCGGCTAGTATAGAAATTATCGAGGGGTTTGAGCAGTCGCCAAGTGCGGAGGAAGCTTCTTCCCTCGAGATGATTGAGGGCCGACCGAATACTCGCCGAGCCGGTCCAGCTTCGTGTCAATTCAGCCCTATAGAAGTTCCTGGTTATAGATGGGTACATGGGGAGGTCGGCAGTGTATTTTCTCGGTATACCGATAAGAGTTTGATTGCTGTGCTATTCGACGCGGAGAACTTTGTTACTCTTCCTGAGAATGAGGTTCCATCCGGTTTCTTCTTCGATCCATGCCGAAACGACGGATCGTGGGAATCGGATTTGGTGTTTCTTGGCCGAGGGCGGTGTAAATACCACTTCTTTTTTGTGTATGATTACTTGTTTCATGATTTGGGGGTGACTCTTCCTTTTGATAAGTTTTTTATGGGTGTGCTCCGTTTGCTCAATGTTGCGCCGACCTAGTTGCATCCGAACAGCTGGGCCGCAATGCAAGGGTTTCGGCAATTGTGTTTGACACTTGGTATCGAGCCGACTCCCCATCTGTTCTTGTATTTTTACTCGTCTCGGCCTACGAAGAAGGCAAAATGGTTGTCGTTGGTTCGGGCGGAGCATTGTTTACTTCAGCCGTTCACGACCTCCTATAAAGGATTCAAAGTGGGATTCTTTAAGGTGATGATTCGGCCAGAAAACGGCAACAAGTACTTTTTTGATGATGCAGGAAATGCCTTGTTTCCTTTATATTGGACTCGGGCGCCGAGAAAATATGACGTGGTGTCGAAGTCCAAGATGTCTACTGAGGAGAAAGCTAACTTGGAAGTGTTGGAGACGCTGCCACGGCCGTTGCCATGCCGAGATCTCGTTCGTCTTATGAAATCAGCCCAACCTGTTGATGATTTAATTGGTATAGTGTCTGTCCTTTATTTGAATTCCTGCGTTGCCATTGATTTTGACTAGTGTTTGTGCAGGTATCATGGCGAACTACAACGATGACTTGGATATTCGTGCCCTGATCCAAGGCCGAGTTGCAAAGCAATCGGCTTCACATGGAAAGAACCGGGCTCTGGCCCGTGAGACAGTTCGGCCTCAATCGCAGCCGAGGGAGAAGAGCAACCAGGATGCTCACAGGGTGAAATTGAACAAGAGAAGGGTTGAGGCCGAGGCTGAGGCGCGCCGACAAAAGCAACAGAGGCTGCCCGCGCTTGTGGCCCCTTAGGGGCTTGTGAGTCCCAGCTTCTTGGCCTCGAATGTCAGTGCCCAAGACTACTTGAGTCAGGATCTGACTTCAGAGATGGGACAATCCATACTGGGGTAGATGACTTCGTCCCACAAGTGGACATTTTTCTGCGAGTTGCAGGCTCGGGCCTTGGCTTTGGCTCAAAGTATTATGATGCAACTGAACGCCGAGGTCGACGGGCTGCGCCGACAGCTGGCCGAGTCAGAAAAGTCCGTGCAGGAAACCTTGGCAGCTTTATCTGAGGCACAAGGGCACGGTAAGAAATGTGAAGCGGAGCTGGACCGTCAGAGCCGTCAGAATGATGACCTGACCTTGAAGGTTCAACGATTGGAGAATCTTCTGAAGGCCGAGGCTGAGAAGTTGGCTACGCTGCTAACGGCGCTAGAAGCCGAGAAGAAGGACTTCGGCGGATACCGGGAGAGGGCCAGGAGCATGGTTCTCTCTCAGCATGAAGCCGGCTTCGCCCAAGCGGCTCGGCAAGCCTGGAATTTTGGAAGTTTGCCTCTGGACTTTCAATTTGATATGACCATGGACTTCTATCGGGGGAAATATGTCAATCTGACCCAAATCTCGCCGAATGAGCAGCCGGACACTGAAGTTCCTGTTCGCCCTGAGGCCGAACCGAGTGGCGACGACCATGTGCAGGAGGAAGTGGCCGAGCAGGAGCCTTCGACCCAAGGGGAGTCCGAGGCACAGGCTTAGGGTTATTTTATAAATTTGTATGTTGGGGCCGATAGTGCCCTGTTAATCTTTTGTAATTCCGGGCCGTTAGAGCCCTTATGTCTTTTCAATGCAATTTATTGCGTTTATCAAAGTGTTTCTGAGCGAACATCGATATAACAAATTTGCCGAACGTAATTTAATTTATATGGATTTAACGCGTGGAAGGCTTGAAATAGTCATACCCTTAACCGAGAGGATTTCTCGGGAGGGAAGGCTTGTAGAAGTCACATCCTTGGCCGAGAGACGTCTCGGGAGGAGAGATGTAATTAGGAAGTCACATCCTTGACCGAGAGACATCTCGGGAGGGAAGACTTGTAAATTGAAGTCACATCCTTGGCCGAGAGACATCTCGGGAGGGAAGACTTGTAATTTGAAATAAAAGCCACATCCTTGGCCGAGAGACATCTCGGGAGGGAAGACTTGTAAATTGAAGTCACATCCTTGGCCGAGAGACATCTCGGGAGGGAAGACTTGTAAATTGAAGTCACATCCTTGGC